GCGTGCGTATGCGAGTGTGTGCGGGTGCGGGAGTGCGGGTGGTGGATGCAAGTGCGCGCGCGCGCGCGCGTGTGTGTGTGTGTGTGTGTGTGTGTTTACTACAATTTTCACAATAACCAAGCTTGCAGAAACAATTTTGAGCAGGATATGCAATTTCCGATGGCAAAAAGGCAACAAATTTCAAACAGAATATATAATATCTGACAATGTGGGCAAATTATTGTCAGAGATATAACAAAGTCTGCTAACATGTAATATGATAGATCAGATGCAACAATCGAGCAGAATGTGCTAACACGACCTGCCGAGCAGAACCTCCACAATGTAATCCAAACATTACTGTCAAACGCAGTTTAATGTTGTTTGACAACAGATTAACAATAGAAACAATGCAAGATTGAAACGTTGTTTGACAACAGATTGACAACAGAAACAGTGTTGTCTGTGAAAATTTGCACAGTTACTAAACACCTATAAACATCTATAACTGCAAAACTACCGTTAGGTTGCATTCGTTTTTTGTATATAAAATTTATTAAACTTTCTATATAATCGAAATTGCTATAACTAAAATTCAAATACGCCATTATTACTTATATGTTTTGTATACATTTAGTGCAAGACACGATTTTATCGTTATGGCAATCAAGTAGTTAAATACTTGGAAAATAATCATTGGTACTATAATTTTGTACAAAAGGCGAATTAGGTACCCTAAATCAACTTGCGAACACATACATGCAAACGGAAAACGAATTGATGGCCAATGATAACATGTAATATCATTGATATAACTACATATAAAAGGAGAATATATTTGCAAGAGCTTGAAAAAACATTTATCAAGTTCTATATCTTCTCAAGACAATATATACCACAGACAGAAGAATTGGAGAAAGTTGGAACGATCAAACGTGCCAGATATAAATTTTATTAAAAATAATAATAAAACAAATATTATGTGTAGCATTACTGCCCAAAATATACAAAAGCAATAAATATCTATTAAATAATTTTTCCAAAATATTTGTATCTTTTTCGTATTTTATTTTGTAAGAATAATATGTTTATTTGTACTGTAATAAAAGTTTAGAAAATAACTCTTGTTTAATTAATAATAAAAAGCATAATTTTAACGTGAGTCATATTGACTTCTTTGAATGATACAATCGTGTAAACCCGAACAGAACAGCAGAATTAATGCAAAATTATAAATTTCATAAATTTCATAATAAATATCATAAATATCATAAATTTATTATTTGGGAAAAACTTTTAAATTACTATTATTATTAATCATGACACTGTCATTATTATTACGATTAATTAATATTAGATTCTATCGCAAATATGTATGAATATTAATGCATATTGTTGTTATTACCACTATTATTATTGTTTTTATCATCATTGTTGATATGAAATTTTTACATACATTCACATTTATACCAATGAAGAAGATTCATGAATACAAGTATATACATGTATATTAAAAATAAAATATATGAACACAAATATTTAATATCATTGGTTTTTAACTTCACTATTTCTCTCTTGATATCCCATAATTTTTCAATAAAATACAATTTTCAATACTAAACCTTTCATAATACATTATTGAGTATTCATGACGTATTAAATTCTTGGCATTGTAAATTCTTGTTACGGAAAATTTGTGATACCTTTTTGTATGTGATATTACTTTTTCATTAAATCGAAAGTTTATTCAGAAAAAAAATACATATGCAAACATCATATAAAGAAAATTTGTAGCATAAATAAATTGATATTGTAGAAAAAAATTCTTTACAAAATTTCATGTGACTTCAATTTCTATTAGATGAAATTTAACTTTCTGTTTAGTCTGTTTAGTAAAAAATAAGTATGAATTTATTGTGAAATAATTATAAATTGGTGTTTTGGAATGTATTGATTGAATTATCATCATATATTTTAAGAGAAAAGGAAAAGAATAACAAGTTCTTATCTAAATTATTTAAATAATAAATATTTAAAGCGTTCGTAGAAATATGGGTATATATATATATATATATATATATATATATATATATTATATATTATAGTATTTTTATTAATGTGCGCTCAGTTATTTTTTTTGTAAAAAAAGAAAAAAAAAGATTTTTGAAGTTAAAAAGTTGTTGTTTAAAAAAAGTCTACATGATTTAAAAATTTTTAATTTTTGTTTTGAAAGTTTTATCAAAACAATGTCATTTATTCAAATAGAATGATATATCTACTTCATTTACAATTTTGTAAGATGTTTTATAACAAATTCAATAATACTTTTTAAAGTTTGAGTTTTATATCTATTTGTTTATGAGGTATTGTCAGGTTTGTGTCGCTTTTAGATAAACAAAAAATTAAAATTTCTCGATTAAAAAAGAATTTATTATTAATCCTTATTTGGAAATACTGTTCAAATTTATTTTTGAAAATGTTATAAATTTATTTTGTTTAAATAAAACATAAAAGTTTTATAACAATTACCATTCTATATGTATAATCACTAAAATAAAAATACAAAATACAAAAAATACAAAATCTACAATTATGAAAAAAAATTGCAAATACCGTAATAGCAACAACACAATACTTATAAATGAAAGAACAAAATTTTTATATCTAGGCTGGAAAAATTTATAAATGCTAAATAAATATCTAAATAATAACTAAACTAATAGACATGTAAAAAATAGTGTAATACAGTATTAAACCGTTCAAATCTAAACGTTGAGTATTAAATGCTATTCTTATTGCTTGTTTCCAGAATTTTCCCTCGCATAATAATGCAATAGCTTCCTCGTTGTGTTTCATATAGTCTTTTAATATTGTAGCTGTATGTTCATACTGTTTCTCATTTTTCAAATTTTCAAGTAGCGTTTCATAAAGAGCATAGCTATTCACTGATCTGAAAAAATTAACTACATAGTATGAACTGGACAATATTATTATTAATATATAATTATTAATTCTAACAACGAGAAAGTAACGATAATCTTTTGCATATACATATATAAAAAAGGATTCTATTTTTACCTCAATTCATTTCTTTTGATAATGCAATCGCATCTTGCCAATCATTACCTCTCGTGCTAAATATTTCTAAAGCTTTGTGAAATTGACCGCTTCTATAATACATCATACCAGCCTCTGAATATTTATATTTATTTGAGAGAAAATCTTCATAGATTTCAACCACCTTTTGATATTCCGTACTATTTTTCAAATGTTTTCATTGCTACCTTGTATAAATCGTGTTCACGCCTTTCAAACCTTTTAGGTTTGAAGAATGCCTAACTTTAGTGACACTCGTCAATTCATAGCGTTTAAGATGCATATTAATAGAATATTCCTTGTAATTCTTGTCTAATTTTTTTAAGTCATTCAAGAATATACTCTTTAGGGTCCTTCGACGATTTGGAAGCTGAACATTGTAAGGTCAAAATCGTACATGCCTAATGCAACATCATATAATGTGTTAATATTTACAAAATGCATAAATATTTCAGAATTTCGCTGGCGGATACAGAAGAAACACATTGCAGTGATTCTTCCAATGAACCCTCGAACATTTTAATATTCTTTATTTTACGAAGTGCATCTTTCAAACCATATCTCTTTTTATTTTTGACCAAGGTTATCAATATTAATCACATGAATTCACTCGCATCCACTCGGTTTCCATAATAGCTCTTAGTATTTTACAAACTTTGTCTACCTTATTAATTGTAGTTTTCTTAATTTCAGCATCAAATTGTTCAGCATGACAATACATATATCTTCATAACAATACATATATGTTGTTCTAGTGACATCTTCATCACTTAATTCTGTTAAAAATATAGTCAATATATTTATATTTCTGTGTGCAATATCCGTTACAAATTGTTCTATATTATCAATAAAAAATTGTGAATTGTGATCGTATATCAAATTCAAATTTATACGTTGTTTCATCATTAATTCAAATGCCGGCAGATAATCGCAGCTATTAAGGTAAAACTTTAATACGTGCAATAATATTTTTGGCTGTATACATTCTAGATTTCCTCGTGGTATCTGTAGAACTATTAGCGAATTTTGTGGTATTGCTGTTATAGGAGAGTCTCTTTCAAGTCTCTTGTCAAGTCTGATACAGATATCTGTAATAATATATATTATAAAGTCGAATATAATGCTATAAAAAAGAATAAAAACGTATATTTTTACCTGCATGTAACTCCTCCTTATAATTAAGATTTAATCAAAATTTGATAGTTAAATCATGTTTTTTAATTGCTCTACACCAGTTTTGCTTAACGGGACATAAATCAATGTAGCTTGCAGTGTTGTAAGAAGCAAAAAATAAGAATGTACATAAAAATCTATAATATTCTTAACAACTTCTCAATGAAAAAATTATTATGAAATAATGCAATAACAACGTTTAAAGCAATTTTTATAATTTCCATTTGAGAACATGGCATAGCAAATGATATTTTTCTTTCTTTAAATTGCCCATCTTTTGTATACTTATATACTTTATTCTGTGTTATTATATAAGTTGTACTTGCATCGGGAGAAGAAATTATGTGTTATATTGGATCATCAAACATATCATTTGGCTATAAAAAGAAAAATGTTTGAATTTATTATAAATATTATTTTACTTTTTTTTTAGTGATTTAGAAAAATTGCATACCTTACTTCTAAATGGTTATTAATCTCTTTATCTAGAAATAAAACACACAAGAGATTTTGATTTTAGCTGTAGTTACGGAATACAACATAATGTTTGATGTAAACCGCAAGAAATGATTCAGGTAATATCATTGATTCTTTAGTGATTTATATGCAATGTCGCATATTACATCACAATCAATACTACACGTGCGTAGATGTAAATTTATACATTAGCCCTTTATTTTCTTAAAAAAAAAAATGCATAATAAACCATGTATAATAACAGATGTATGAACTTATATTATTTCTTAATTTTGATTTATATAATGCATATTAATTAAATATACTATTTCTTGCTTAAAAAATATTAGCTCATTGGTATACGAAATAGCACAGAATACATTACATTATGTTAATTAAAGAATTCTCATCTTTAACATTTGGTACAAAGCTAATTGCATTTACTGGTTTGTCTTAGAATATATAAAATTTAATGTGCTAATGATGATGGAACAATTCCATCTCTGAAATCAGTAACTAGAATGTTGTGTCCATCAATAACACCAACTACAACTTTATCATTTGCAGTTTTAGACCAGCTATTATTTACGCAACAATTAACTGGATAAAAAGCAAATTTTTGTTATAAAAATAAATTCTTTTCTATTGATGTCATTTTCTATACTACTCTATGTTATGTATACTAGTGGGTTATCTTAAAAAAAAAAAAAAAAAATAAAAATTTGTTTAGAGTACCAATAACCATTATTTTGAGTCCACAGCTGTACTAATGAGCTATTCACATCTGATTGATTATAAACAATAATTCAAATTTCTAAACATGGCGACCAAAGCAGATCTTTTATTTGAAAGATATCTATTTAAAAATTTGTAATTTTTAATAATTCAGATAATCTTGTCCATTTTAATATTTAATATACCATTATTTTTTGCGATCCAGAGGGAAGACACAATTCCGAGTATTTAAGGCCATTCTTTTCAATGAATGCAACAAGTCTATTATCTCATCTCTGAATCGTTGCAATTAAACTTCCTGATGGATTCCAAGCTTTTATTATATATTTAATATAAGAAAGTTTTATGATAAAATTTATTATAATAGTTATTTTTGTGAATTTTATAGTGTGTAGTGGTAATAAATTTTTGCAAACAACAAATGAGACGTTTTCAAGGCGCAAGTGACAATTTAATCGTTGAAATGCAAACAATCAATGAAAGTCCTATTTTTGATAAAGACGACATGAATATTTTCGTTCATATTTTTCAAAGCGATGTTTGACTTGAATCTCCAAATAGAACCCGTACATGAGATCCAACCACAATAACTATATTTTACTGCCTGAAAAAATAAACACATGGCACGAAACGCATAATTTCAAATATTGTGAAGAGAGAGCGATTTCAGGTTTTTTGACAAGTTTTTGAAAAACTATCGTATGTATAATCGATATATGTACAAATAATTGTACACAATTATCTATTTATCCTCATCATTAACAGGACAATATAAATGATAAATTTTCATCATTATCAAGACAAAATATTGTACAAAATTATTTTGATCAGTCCTTTTCTATTGTCGGTGCTCATCTCGGCTTGTTTGAAATTTTCTTCTTCCTTTTTTTTCTCCTTTTGAGATATCTGTTCAAGATGTGTGCTACCAGAGAGAAATCTGAGAGCGGACATGTCCGCGATTCAGCTATAACCTTACTCGCGTAGGTAATGTCCACAGTGGACACAGTCGTGTCCATATCGTCCGTCTTTATCACTCTTGCGTCTAGCACGGAAGAGAAAACTACAAAATCGTGGGCAATACCTACGTGAATAAGGTTACAGCTAAATCGCGGGCATGTCCGCTCTCAGCCTGGATCCTTATGCAAACATCGGTGCTTTGACACCGAGCGCTGATTGGTGAAAAATGAGTAATGGGGATAAAACGGCGAATGAATCTTTACTATTTACTCTCATTATCCGTTTTTCGAAAACGCCGGTGTCTGTATGAGGATCCAGGCTCAGGCTTCTCTCTGGTGCTATTCTGCTACTATCTCGAGAAACGGATCGCTACTTTTGTTTGAATTTTGTTTTGAATGTCTTGTGAATCCGATCCGTCATGATTTTCAGGAAATAATGGAACACACCGTTCCAATAATGTTCGGAAGTAATACTCTAAATACACCCGGGTCATCATTTTATCCTTACTTAACGTTCGATGAAAGCAAGGATAAAACAAGGATAGCAGGGTGCACTCAGTTATGTTATTTCCAAACGCACCCTAACCGGATCGTGAATTACCAGAATTCCCTAGCAGATCCGATACGTCATTTAGATCCGCGCTAATGGGACTGCACCCAGACGGTGACGGTTGCGTGCAAATATGGCGGCGTGAATTAGTGTAGATAATTTGAACGAGCAAATAGTAAATAAAAGTAAATATAAAAGTATATTTCACGCGTGTTTCATAAAAGAAAAGTAGTCTTTATAATAAACTTTTTCCATAGTTTCCATAGTTAGATTTTGACTGGCAGAATCAGTAAAATGTATTTTACTCAATAATTTTTCGTATAGTTCTTCACCTTGAAGTATAGTTAATTTCAATTTATTTAATGTTTAATTTTAATTTTTTTTAATTTTATCGAATATAAATCTCACTCACCGAGCCGCGAGTGTTGAGTGGGCGTGCATAAAACTTGCACTAGCCGTGCACTCGGACCTCGGACCGATACCGTCCTGCACTGTCCCCGAGTTCCCAGTGCGCACTCAGTTCTGCCCAATGAAAAGCGCTATTAGTTTACAAACACGTAACCGCGATGCATTTACGTTATTCACGGTGATTGTGTTGGGTGGGAAGGTGGAAATAGGAAGAGGGGAGAGTTAGTGCGTTGCAAATAAATGCTTACTTTGCACCTTCTCTCATTTTTTGTATTCATTCAGTGTTACGTTTATTACTTATCATCGCTGTTTACCATTATGCTGAAAGTCGCATTTGTGTGTATACACGTGCCAATAAATAATTTCGCATTTAAAAATTTTCTCGGTTTCTTGATTTGTGAAATGTGATGAAATGAGAGATACGTCGGTCGATGTATCACTTGAAAAAAAAACTGTTTTATCATCGATAATCCTGCTTTTTAATTGCAGTGATTGCGCCACGAAATATATATTCTTTTGATGTAAATTTATTATTGATGTCTATCTTGATCAAAAGTCTTATAATTTTAATAATAAATGAAGGAAATTTTTGCATATATACGAATGGAGTTTTCAAAATATCTATTTATATAAAATGTTTTAAATTTGTACAAATATCTTAAACAAATACATATGTTGTGTGATATTTTTAAGCCAATAGATAAGAAAGTAGACAGTAATTGTCGAATAGATTCATTTTAAGCCATATTTGGATCTGTAAAATATAGATTGGTAAAAAATACAGTTATATACCATTCAATACTTCATTAAAACAGGTACATAATTGTACAAGTTTTTATGCCACTACTGATATTCCACTACTACTCATGATAGAGATAATTTTTTTATATTTATCTTAATCAACAATACTTGTGTTGTCTGACTTACCATATTCAAAATTAAGCCAAGAGAGACATTAAGATAATATAAAGATAAATAGAATAAAGCTTTTGAATATAGAGCATTATTAATGTTAGGTTAATATTCTTAATTTTTCAGATATCGGAATAAGAATAAATCTTTGGGATTAAGAGTTCTAGACGTTTTTAAAAACTCTTTAGTTAGTGAATATATGTGTCAAGGATATAAGAGAAAACAGAAATATGAATAGAGGACACGATGCTACTTATACTGAAAGGGATAATCATCTATTTGAATACTGGGAAGAATATCAGAAAATAATAGAGGAGACAAAAATACTGGATGATTATTTAGATGAAGAATGTAAGCCTCAAAGTTATGATGGTATGTATTATAATATGACTTATATGTAAGATAATCTAATTAATGATGTACCGGCTGTATAATAGTAGCAAAAGTTATTAAAATTTAAAAACAATTATTTCTATTGTGTTAAATATTAAATAGATCTGATTGTAAAGAAGTTAAAAATATAAATAAGAAAATAAAATCAAATAATTTTTATCATACTTTTGAAACAAAAAATTTATAATTGATAGATAATAATAGACAATTCTGGAAGACAGATTTCTTAGGCATCAAGTAATCTACCTTTTTCATATTTTGAATTCATATACATATGCACGAATGCACACACATACACATACATACGCATGTAATCAAAAGTTGTGGTTAGATTCTTTAAAATCAAAATCAATTAGAGAAATACAAGTCATAATAAATAAAATTCATTCAAGCAAAAATTTAAAAAGAGTTATCGTAAATATTGAATAAGTTAAATGAAATCTAAAAATAATTAGTTATGTAAGTTAATTAATAATTTTTTTGAAACATATAAACAGTAAACATCCAGTTCCTATTTATTAGTATTGCAATTTCTTTGTATAAGAATCAAATATAAAAATTTAATAATTTCTATTCAGAGAATTGGGGTTAGTTTTTACACAGTTGTTCAAAAGAAATAATGTCTATGAAATTCTTATGTTTTTGCCAAGTTAGTTTGATGCAATCTTACTAAAAATTTTATATTATCTAAATGTAAATTGTTTGTAAATGTGATTGTATGAAAAATAACATATGATATATAAAATATTTCAAACAAGAATTCTATAAAAAGGAATGTATAAGTTACCAAATTACATACAACCAAGTGTATTATTTTTAGATATAAAAATTACTTTGAGTTTTTTAACCAAATAACTTTATGGGCAATAATGAGGGTAATGAGAATCAGCGCTGTAAACAATGCACAATTATATATTTTATCCTAACTATGTTTATCAATCAACATAATTGTAACACAAAAATCAATTTTTTTTAAATGGGACATCTTTCTCCTTTTTTACTCCAGAATCTAATAACTCATCAAGAATTTCTCAAAACATTATAATAAATAAAGTTTTTTTCTTTTTTATTAAATACTTCTTAAGAATTATGAAATTGTATATTTCTGTGATATTTCTAATTCTCTATTGATTATTTTTTGCATTAGGCCATATGTATTTCTTAATTATTTTACATTTAGATCTATCTTTTAATTCTTAATCATTTAGGAATTTTAAATTTATCACGAATGGAAATACGAATGATCAACAATTTAAAACATTTAAAGATATATTGTTACATGTATTATAGTATCATACTATAACTACAGAAATCAGAAATGCTTCTACTATCCCTTTCATTTATTATATGACTTTGAAATTTTTTATATATCAAACAGTATATATCAAACACAAAGAATAATTTAAAAAATTTAATTATCCATATAATTTATTTTATATAATATAAAAATTATTTAGCCTTGTGTATTAAAAGTTTAAAAAAATCTAAAAGAAAAATTGTTACTATATTGCAATGTAATATTAGATAATGTATTCAGAACACGTATGTATGAATATAGAATATAGTAAAATAAGAATATAGAATGAACATTTCTGGATTCTTTTTACAGAAGGAGAGGAAGAAGCTGAATGGTTACGTACAGCAGGTTTAGGACAATTAACAGAGGCATGGAAAGCAGGCAGGGAAATACAACCTGAGGAATTAGGAGCAGCTTTGCGTCCTCTGTCACGGGTTCAAGCAGAAGCTGTGAAACGTCGTGTGAGATCACTTAATCATACCGTTAAACAACGTTTTAATCAACGCCAACGTGTTCGCAAACCAGATATTAGAGATGTCTTTAAGGATGTCGAGGTATATCAATAATTTAATACAAATATTAAACATCAATTGTAATATATTAATTACATATTTAATTATATATGTATGTGGGCATTCAAAGTATCTCTCTTAATTTGAGCAGCTTTGATAGTTTATTTTAATAATACAAAAAAATATCAGACAAACTGTTATTTGTTTTGAAGAAAAAATATGCTCAGCACTTTTTATCAAAGCTTTAAAATATTTTTTGAAAGCGAAATTTTTTTAAATCTTCAGAAATATATAAATAATTATGATAAAGAGATTAGAGAAAAGAATTTATTTTAACCAATTCTTAAAATAATTATTATGTTCAATACATTCCATTATTTATATTTTTTTTATAGTTTAGATACACACATGCATACATGTTAAACTTGTTTATTTAATTATAAATATATTTATAGCTCTCTAGTACGGGTACACGATCACGTAGTGCTACTCCTGATTCTTTAGATTCAATTCCAAGCACTACAGAAAATGCTTCACCTCCTTCACCTCCTTCACCTCCATCAGTGATCGATGATACTCACCAAAGGTAAATTTACTTATTCAATATTATTACTGTTAATGACGCATTTTGCAATATTTATCTTAATTATTTGAAGTACTAGTGTTCCGAGTTTTGTTTCTATATTTCACCAAACATCAAATAATGGAAAAGCAACGATTCGTAGAATGCCAAGTGTTCCACAAACGATTTTCAATTCTGTGCCAGTACCTACCTCAACTTCTGTACCCGTACAAGAAATTTTTAGGAAGACTGGTAACTGGGCAAGGGGTGATGTCGCAAATGATTCTGGTATTATTTCCTATTTTTACATATTATGTTTATTTTCTGGACAATTAATAACTTAAATATCAACAAAAAAGATTCTCGGTATTATAATAATAGACAATAATAGGGCAAATGAGAAGCGTTGTAAACAATACGCAAATTATATTTTCAATTTTAACTCAGTTTATTAATAAAAAGTTCCAAACATTTCGATTCAAATTTGAGTCATCTTCAATGATACAATAAAGTAAAGGTCTCTGAATTTGAGGTGTACAGACGCTCTTTGCGATGTACTGTTGATTTATGCTGCTCTCGTGGGTGTCTTTTTCTGTCTTTGCAGTGAACTGCGTTCATTTGATGAGTGACAATCACTTTATGACTACTCTTTCTTTTTATTTTATATAATAGATAATAGATGCACTATCTCATATTTAAAATTTATTAATTATTAAAATTTATTAATTTCATTCCGTTAACTGACATGATTGATATATCATTATTTTTTATGGTTGAGCTCATCGATTGAATACAGAGATATACCTTTACTTTGTTATAGCACTGAAGATGACTCAAATTTGAGTTGAAACCTTTGGAACTTTTTATTAATAAACTGAGTTAAAATTGAAAATGTAATTTGCGTACCGTCAGCGCCGATTCTCATTTGCCCTATTATTGCCCATTAATTAATAACTTTTGAATCTACAATTTTATATATATGTTTATATATACATTACTATTACAGAAGGAATTCAACTAACTAGCTACCACAGATTAGGAACGATACATATTGTCAGACCAATTCAAAGGCATAACAATAATCTTAATATAACAAATTTAGATTCAAAATCAATTAGAAAAGTGATGGTACCAAAGGAACCGACTCTTCGGTATTTTTAAAATAATTAAATAATTTCTGATTAAATAATAATATATAATAATAGTTCTTCTAAAGTTTTCTTCTAATTGTTACCTTATATTTTAGACGAAGTTCAGGAAGTCATGCGACAATAACTCGAAGTCACAGCAGTTTATATGGCTTGACCAGACCAATGGATGAAAATTTAATAACTCATCCATTGAGTCGCACGTCGTCACATGGTTATCTTAGTTTCGAAGAAATGTGCAAAACTAATGAAGCTAAATCTCAAGGATGGTCTTCTGATAATTTTATGACTAATGATAATTATGCTCAGCAAGATGTAGAATTATTATCGCAACGAGATTTTACAAGATTACAGCCTCTTTTATGGCTCGAGCTAACAGCGATTTTCGATAAGTATAATATACCGCTTACGAAACGAAAACCGAATAAACGACGAAGCAAAAGTATGTTAATATAATTATATTTGCCTTTTTTATGTCATGGTTCTTTTTTTATGATATGGACCTGATATATTTATAGCTGGAAATTTGTTTGGCGTTTCTTTATCGACACTATTGCTCAGGGATAGTCAATTAACGAACGAAGAAAGTAATATACCACTAGTATTTCAAAAAATACTTAACGAGTTGACAAAACGTGGAGTAAAAGAAGAAGGTATTCTTCGTGTTGGGGGTCATAAACAAAAGGTAAACTATTAGTAAATAAAAGTAATCATTAGTTAAGATACTTAAGTAATTATATGTCGTATTTATTAAAATGATAATCATTTAGGTGGAAATTATTTGTATGGAGTTAGAAACAGATTTTTATTGTAAACCGAAAGAGATGGACGAGTTATTTAAATGTATTCCATGTCATGATTTGTCAGCTGTTTTGAAAAAGTTATTACGAGATTTGCCGCAACCTCTTCTTACCGTCGAGCTAATCGATGCTTTCTATCAAAGTCATGGTGAATTATACATATAACATGAAATTTCATACATTATATGAAGATATAAAAATAATTTTATATCATTTCAGGTGTCAAGAATTCCAATGATTTAGTGTATTCTCTTAATTTGTTGGTATTATTATTACCTATCGAACATCGGTGTACTTTAGAGGCATTGTTGAATTTTCTAAAACTGGTCATCGAAAATCAGACATCGAATAAAATGTCGATACACAATGTGGCAATGATAGTGGCACCATCACTTTTTCCGCCCCGGTATGTTCATCCTCGAGATCATATGGATCTGACCGCTCAGATTAACATGGCTGCCATATGCTGTCAGATAACGGAAGCTCTACTTAATAATATTGAAAAGTTATGGTATGTTCCGACGGAGCTGATAAATCAGTTAAGAAGACGAGCCGAAATGGAAAGATATCGCAAATATAAGAAAAAATAATTATTAGATATATTAATAAGTTTCGTGTAATTAAAAATTGTTATTTTCATATTAATGTATAAGTTGTGTAACATTAACATTATTGAATTTTATAAAAACTATGTTAAATTTTTTAAATAATATATTGCACACATAATATTTGAAATAATAATGTCTATTTGCATATTACATGGGCTTGCGTGTGTATACATATATATGCGCACGGCCGCGCATGAGTATATAGTGTATACTTTTTTATTTTATAAATCTTAAGATGTGCAACTTAATTATTATTTAATATTCTTTCTGGTTTTTAAATAATTTCTGCATTTGGATGATGTCAAAAGCAAGAAAACACATGAAAAAATTTCTGCAGTATACATTAAAATGAGAATATTTTTCAATAAAACGTTTGCGATCGATATAAGCCTTGCAAAATATATAAAAAATTATCTTATTTTAATAATTTAATAATTATACATCCTGGAACTGAATTGTGTTTCTATTTTTCATTAAGCTATTTCTATTTTTTATTTAAGCATTTGTTTCTAATATTACAATTTAAGATAGTTACAATAAATTAGCAAATCTTAAACAATTTTTAATTTTTATTAATTCTGATATACTACTTTTTATCTCATCTTTCATTATAATAATTAAGCATAATACTAATTATCGTATACTTATTTATTTGTCAATTTGCACATACATATACACACATTGTATAATATTCTACTTTAAAATAAACGTAATTTAGTGTGTGCGTATGTGTGTGTGTGTGTGTATGTATGCGTCTATTTTTTTTGAAAGGTAAATTAAAAATTAAATACAATTTATAATAAAAAAATAGATAATTATTTAGGAGATTTGGAGGGGAGGACGAAAAACTTAAACATTTACCATAGATGTATAATTTACATAATTTACAGTAATTTATATTTTAGAACTAGTAGATTTGTAAAGTTTGATGGTTGCATCCACAGCTGTTATAGCAGTGCCAGGTGCCATACAAATTCCATAACCACCATGTCCATAATTATGTATAATCTATAATGACAGAAGATATTGAATTATAAGATCTATTCTTTTTAGTTGAACGTTCTCCATTCATCTTTTTTTTCTCCAACATAGAGAACACAGACTTCTATATAAAGCGAGTTTTTAACTCATCAATTAATAAATCATTATACACAACTTTGTTCTATAAAAGCAACATTTTTGCATTAAGCGATTAATCAACCAATGAATTAAAAAAACTCGTCTATAATATAGATTGCTAAAATAAATGTACAAAATGGCTCGAAAAAGTGATGCGAATGTAAATAGTGGTAAGAATGGCAGCCGTGTTTTATGTTGGTAAAAAGTTTGTTTTCTGTTCTTGTATTGGGCTGCACTAACTTTCTATCTCACTTTTATCAAACTTCAAATATATTTATATTTCATTTTAATGTTGTAACCAACCATAGTATTGGAACGTTCACTAATTCGTTGCCCTTCTCCGACTCTGACACCACCTTCTCGATGTGGTCGCAAACCGACTTCTTGTCGTATGAGTTTTGCACTTTTCAAAGATGGGACTAGCATCTCACATCTTTCGCGAATCGCTACAGATTCATGTGGACATAATTTTAGATTTTCAGAATCGAAGTTTCTTGATCCACCTAAAGTAACCACATTGTTAAAGCCTGGTATGATGTAAGTATCCAACTCGCCATAAAAGAAAGTTTTGATCCACGGTGCCTTTACCTATACAGAGGACACTTAATTTCATTATATTACAAATAAACACACATCCATACATACACTTTATTAACATAAAAAATTAAAAGAAAGATTGCATAAATGAACAAAATTTAATATCTAAGTAAAACATGATTTTATACTTTAAGCACTTGACCACGCAGAGAAACAAGACGTTTGTCGTCGCATAATTTACGTGCTCCAAGTCCTGTGCAATTTATTATGATATCGTAATCGTCAATAAGTTCTTTGAAAGAATTCACTTTTCCTTTTTTGAATGTAATTCCCTCTGACAGCAATCTAAGAAAGCGGATAATATAATTGTCATAGCTTTCTTATTTGTAATTATATTATATATGTCATAGCAGAAGGAAACTTGAAAACGACTATGCTGGTCTTTTTCGTGAGATTGATGAAATCTCTTGTACAGGGTGTCCCATAATTCTTAATTAATATTTCGAGGAGGTAAAAGAGGAATTTTAAATTAAAAATTTCTTTTCCAATTTGGCTCAGACATTATTTACCAAGTTATTAATGATAAAGTTGATCGATCAGATTGTGCCCAGCCGGAGTACGCGGAAGCATAACATGCAATGAGACCTCTTGCGCTTTTTGTATATTCTCTTGATCAAAATTTTATTCTATTTTTTCATATTAATTAATAAATAAATGAAATAAAATTAATTAATTTATAAATGAATTAAATAAATGGATAAATAAATAAATAAATAAATAAGTGAGACTAAATTATAGTTAGAAATCTATCTAATTTTTGATTGTTTTTTTATTGTTATTTATTATTTATCTGTTTGTTTATTTATTCAATTAATTAATTCAATTATTTAATTCATTTGTTGTTCAATTTATTTAAGTTATTTAATTTCCATAGCTAATCTAGCAGCGATGGAGAAAAACTAATTACGATATATTTGTCATAGGTATAAAAAGATTATTGGCAAAAAATATCAAAATAAGTTGTTTGTAAATAATTTGTTTAAATAACCTTTTTAAAAATTATTTTGATATATATCATGCGTCATTCTTACATAATTCTTAATAAAAATTTTTTAGATGCAAAATTTTCTAATCAATGGATTGGAAGAACAGAAATTGAGTAGACACCTCGTTCTCTTAATTTATCAACGCTTGATTATTTTTTGTGGACCCTAAGATAATTATATAATTTAGACTCCTCACCTGAAATATGGATAAAATTGAGCTCATTCAATGCGTTTTTGCATAAAACGAAAGAATCTGGCAAAAAAGATGTCGCTCTACTTCGCGAATCGAGATATTAATCGTTGAAGTTTGCGTTATTTAAGGTTAGGAAACCTGTCATATCGACGAAATGTATCGATGTGGGCATGCGCTGTGACCACATGCGCATGCGTCTCAGTTACTCCGCGCAATATTAAAGCGGTTTTTTTAAATTTTGTGAAATTACATAATTATAAATTTTGTTTTAAAATGAGATCTATAATTATTCGATTCCACATGGGCTTACGACTTTCCACATAAAGTGAGTTTCCACAAGGGTTTTGCGAAATCCACTCTTCCCTCTCCCCATGCTAAGGGGCAAAACGAGGTCTGCAATTGTTTAATTCCACATGGGTTTATGACTTTCCACATAAAGTGAGTTTCCACAAAGATTTTACGATAGAGAGGATTTCGCAAAACCTTTGTGAAAATTCACTTTGTGAGGAATCGAATAATTATAGACCTTGTTTTAAAACAAAATTTATAATTATGCAATTTCACAAAAATTTAAAAAACCGCTCTAATATTGCACGAAGCGACTGAAATGCATGCGCATGTGGTACGCGTCCATGTCGATACATTTCATCGGTATGACAGATTTCTTAACCTAAATAATCGTCAACTTTAACGATCAATCTCTCGCTTCGCGGGGCAGAGCGACGCTTATTTCTGCCGTATTCTTTCGTTTTATGCAAAAACGCATCGAATGAGCCTAATTTTATTCATATTTGAAGTGAGAAGTCTAAACTGTATAATTACTCACTTTAAAAGCAGAACGTTTGCAATAAAATAAAAAATCTAGAGATATTTTGTCAAAGGATCAAGGATTGAAGAAGCTGCACTCATTGATTCGGAAAACATTGATTAGGAATGAAAGTATCCAGCTTTTATGACCGAAAAGCTCATTGTCAGATCGTAAATGGTATACAATTCGAGCATTTACTATAAAACGTTGCCTTAACCGACTTGATCACGGGCCGATCTTGCCTTGGCTAGTCGAATCATCGATCGCTGTTTGGAATTCCAAATATTTCGGGCACACACAGCACGTACACACACACGCGCGCGTGCGCTCGTGAGAGGCAAGGGAACTTACTTTAATAAAGTGCTCCGAAGAATTTGATAAAACTCATATTTTCAAAATGTCCCAACCTTTTTGTTATACTCTGTATATTTATATTCAATGTTTATTGAATTCAGTTTTTCACTTCTACAAATTTTTATCAGTTTGTGTCATTTCATTAATCCAAGTAAAAATATTCTTTGTGCGAACAAATTTGTGTGACCATGCATTTTTTTCGCGGAGTGCCTATATTGGTTATAATGTGATTATATATAATTATTTCATATATTTACCGATATTTAATCCATGGAACATATAAATTTCCTTGTGTCAGAAGGGTTGACAAATACGACCCATACTTCCAATTGCCCTCAATTAATTCAAATTCTTCTTCAGTTGCGTTTCTATACACAGGTACGACGCCTTCAAGCCAATGATTCTAATTAAATAGTAATTATCTAGTCAGAAACAAGTCAATAATAAATCTAATTAATAATTATTAACCAACAAGGAAACCCACGCAAGTGTTCCTCTATAACCCCCTTTCCTAAATGTACTAAAGGCCTCTTTCACCAATCTTCGATTAAGCTAACCGACGGTTAACTTGACCATCATGATTGCCAACAACTGAAAACTGAACTGTTTATTATAGATGTGTTAAAATTTTTATTTAAGCAAATGATTGTTTAATAATTTTTATTTACATTAGTTATCGGATATTACTTACAATTTTTTCATTTACCTACCAAGATAATTACAACACGAAGAGAATATTAGGTTAGAGAACACACATTACTTTCTGTGCATTGAATTACGATTGGCATCCCTGCGGTTGTTGACGTTGGCTAATTTAATCAAAGATTGATGAAAGAGGCCCTAAGAAAGTTGACAATACCTTAGGCCATATTCAGATATATAGAAAGCACACAGATAGATAGATATTTGCATGCGGAATCACACCACCATTCAGTATAAAAGCAATCAGCAATCAGCAATCAATTTACTTGTACATAGAGCACTCACCATCTCTGACAAAGAACATTTACAGACAGAACTCAACCACTTGAAACTAACTTTACAAGAGAATGGAACAACAAAAAAGATATACATAAAATAATCAACAGTATAAACAAGACAAGAGTCGGGCGCTCAAGTATCACATAACGAGATGGACAGAAAAATCCTTTCCATCCTCCCAAATATAAAAGGAAATTTCATATTCGATTATGATTGGTCAACTTTCTTACTTCTTAAAGCTTAAATCACCATTGTGGACTGACACTAATCTACAATCAATCTACACCTTAACAACATTTCGAGATGAATTAGCAAATATATATCCAGAGATATCAGTTACT